GACACAAAGTAACGCATGAGAGGTGATGATTAAACATTCTTTAGATTCAGGTCATCAAACATGAAACCAGGCTGGTTTTGGTTCCTCCTCTGGGGATCGGGTCGTACCGTGCTGCTGGTATCTGGTTCCGTACCCGCGTCGCGCCTGGGCCCTGGGTCTGGGTCTGTAGTACGAGTGGTAGTAGTTATAGTACGGGTAGTAGTTGGAAGCCTTGTACGGGTTGTGCGGATCGTCTCCGACCATCGCGTCCTCCGGCGTCGGTTGGTGCGTCGCCGCGCGTAATTGCGCGTCGTCGCTGGCGGCGGGGACGCGCGGGGATCCCCGGGACGCCACCGGGACCGTGTCGTTGGCGCTGCTGAGAACCACCACCGGGTTATTGAGTCCGCGGAGCCCGGCCCGCCTGCTGCCGGACGGCCGGTACTGGGACCCGCGGCTGAGGATGCTGAAGACCTGCCCGTTGTGTTGCCATGTCAACCCCCGCCGGAGCGCATCTCCGCCGCCACCGGCGTCCCCCGCGGCCTCCTGAGCGAGGGCCCCCGCCAGAGAGCCGAGGAGCAAACTCACGTGTGAGAGAAACGGCAGCACGGAGTCGGCAGAGAGGCCCTTCATGTCCCGGATCCACGCGCGAGTTCCTAATGAAGCCTGTTCCGCGCAGCTTGGAGCTCCTCTCAAGAGGGGAGGCTCAGCAGCCATGGAGTACTGCTGAGGGAGGGAGGCAGGCAGGGAGGGAGGGAGGGAGGCAGGGAGGGTCTTTCTCATGTGACCTCTCGTGGATGACCTTGAACCTTTGAATTTGTACAAACAGATGAAACAAGTGGTTCTATATTTAGTGGTCAGACTGCAACTGATGACGTCGCCCTATTCAACGTGAACGGGGACCTGCGCCCCGTAAACACACTTCCTGAAGTCTAACCATGTGAAATAAACATGTTATGATTGTATTTTTAACGATCCAACATGGCGGAGAGACGTTCACCCAAGAATCCAACATGGCAGAGACGTTCACTCAAGAATCCAACATGGCGGAGAGACGTTCACTCAAGAATCCAACATGGCAGAGACGTTCACTCAAGAATCCAACATGGCGGAGAGACGTTCACTCAAGAATCCAACATGGCAGAGACGTTCACTCAAGAATCCAACATGGCAGAGACGTTCACTCAAGAATCCAACATGGCAGAGACGTTCACTCAAGAATCCAACATGGCGGAGAGACGTTCACTCAAGAATCCAACATGGCAGAGACGTTCACTCAAGAATCCAACATGGCGGAGAGACGTTCACTCAAGAATCCAACATGGCAGAGACGTTCACTCAAGAATCCAACATGGCAGAGACGTTCACTCAAGAATCCAACATGGCAGAGACGTTCACTCAAGAATCCAACATGGCGGAGAGACGTTCACTCAAGAATCCAACATGGCAGAGACGTCCCCTCAAGAATCCAACATGGCAGAGACGTCCACTCAAGAATCCAACATGGCGGAGAGACGTTCACTCAAGAATCCAACATGGCAGAGACGTCCACTCAAGAATCCAACATGGCGGAGAGACGTTCACTCAAGAATCCAACATGGCAGAGACGTCCCCTCAAGAATCCAACATGGCGGAGAGACGTTCACTCAAGAATCCAAGGTGGCGGAGAGACGTTCACTCAAGAATCCAAGGTGGCGGAGAGACGTTCACTCAAGAATCCAACATGGCAGAGACGTTCACTCAAGAATCCAACATGGCAGAGACGTTCACTCAAGAATCCAACATGGCGGCGAGACGTTCACTCAAGAATCCAACATGGCGGAGAGACGTCCACTCGGGGGGAGTGGTTAACCACCGCCAGTTCCTATGTATTGTTACGAATTTCTATGTCAAATATTTCGCATACGTTTTTAGGAACAGCTTTTGGAGATCACGTTGCTCGGGTATGTGAAGAACCTTGAGATGCGTTCCGTTGACACGCGTGTAACCGCCGCTGACTCCAGCTCCGTGGTTCGGGCAGAACAAAATTTGTGAAATTTTAATTTCTTTCTCTAAGCTTTGAACATTCAGAGAAAGGGAACTTGGCTTTTGGGATGCTGACAAAATGTTCTGAATGTCTTCATCTATGTGAGACCTACGGGCAACATGCAACCAGGGGGATACGTGTAGATACTGAGTCCATTAGGTTAGATGATAGTCCATGATGACACGCGTTAGCCCGTGGTTCTGCTTAGCGCGCTACGCTAGCCTGCAGCAGCGCCACGTGGGCGCAGTTAAACCGAGAGGAAAAAGTGATTCCAAGCTAAACAACGGCCTTTTTTATGACGTTTGCGTGGAGATCAAAGCGTCTCTCTGCACTTCAGGAACACAAAAGACCGTCGCTGCTGTTTCCAACGAGAAGCAGGTGTGCGCCCGAGCCTTTAAACTGCTTCATAATGAGGCCTGGTGGTCTGCAAGGGGGGGGGGGGGGTCCTGCACACAGGACACATAAAGAGCTACGGAAACTCTCTGCCTCTCTGCTGAGCTCTGCCCAGCAGCACCAGCAGCCCCAGCAGCACCAGTAATACCAGTAACACCTGCAGCACCAGAATAATCTATCACAGGCTGTGTGATGAAGCTGCACTGGTTCAAATAAATCATGAAAAACACACTATTAAATGTACAACATGCTATTTTCAAGGGGGGTTCTGGGACGTCGGCGGACCCGTGCATCAGTTACGTGGCTCTTCATCCTCAGCAGCTGTAACAGAAGCCAGACTCATTAAAACCATCCAGCAGGACCTGGATCCACATCAGTCAGCGAGCCTCTGACCTTCACACGGCTCCCCTCCAACATCAGAGGGAGGCGGGTCACATGGCCTGTCAATCACTCGTTGTGGAGCGTGTGGTGGTCTCGTCCAACCAGCGCCTGCCGTCCAGTTCACTTCTCCTTTAACGTTCAAGACTTCCTCACCCCATTGGTCGCTGTGGCCAGATGTTGCCGTGGTGACGGAGACCAGCTTACGCGAGGGCTCATACAATTTCTCATATCAGGAGTAATTGATCCAAATAGAAGGTTCCAGCCAAAGAGTCACACACAGGTGGAGGAGTCAACGAGTATCAGTGAACACGCGTGAAACAATAAACCACACCGCACCACAAGACTTTGTCCCTGCACACAAACCAACGGCAGATTGGGCTTCGGCCGCCGACGGCACCAGCAGATTGAACATCACCTTCAACCACTATCTGCCCCGCCTCAAGGTCTGATCCGCCAGCGACATTTCGGTCCCTCAGATCGCCCTCACAGCGGGGAGGTTTGCAGCCGAGCGTGAGGCCGCCAGGAGGCGAGAGTCAGTCAGTCTGCGGCCGTGACTCTCTGCTGGAAGTTGGTGGATCAAAGTCAGATCAGAGTTTGAGTGGATCCTTGTAGGTTCGGACCCTCAGCGCCGAGCTTTGGGTCGTCACTGCAAGAGCTTCACTCGCAGAGTAGCTGGACTCGGCCTTCGAGGGAATAGGAGCTTAGACCCCCAGAGGAGTAGAGACACATGGATGCTTCAGGTAGAAAGGGACCAGCCGAGGCGGTTCAACATCTGATCTTCCTGGTTGCCTCTTTGGGGGTTTTGGGCCAGAGCCCCTGAACAGGCTGGAGGGATTTTATCTCTAGTCCAGCCTGGGAGTGCTTCAAGTTTAGTTTGCTGTACATTTGGTCATTTTCACGAGGGACTGTTTGCCATCCCTCCAGTGGCCAGTTGAGGGACTGCAGTTTTTACCCTTCTGGTTTTCTTGATCAAAACCGGGTGTGATGAGACCAGTTCACACCACCTGCTCAGCAGAAAACCCCCTCAGTTAGAAACGAGCCGGGGACGTTTCCCCATCTCCTAACATGAGACAAACAGAAAGGCTCCTGGTGAATCTTCATGTGGTTTGTGGGAGTAGCAGCCGGTTGCTACTCGTCAGTGTGTTGAGTTCGTCTGCCCTCTGGTGGCTGCTAAAGAATGGCTGAATGAAAGTAGCCCATTAATTGTGTCCCTGTTTATTAGCTGTAAAGTTACTTTTTACCGGTGTCATGTGCAACATTCCTGCCCACCATGAGCCTGTCGTTAAAGTGGAACACAGCCGCCATTGTTTATCCTGGAAAAACAGGAAGAAAATCCACCTGGAAGTTTCATTCACAAGCAGAGACCTGCTGACTATCTGGAACCACTTAAATCCCCCAAAAACTAAGTTGTTGCTGCAGTAAAGACAACGAGTACGTCGAGTACATCTCCTGTAAACCGCTCCAGGATCTGCTATCGACCACTTCATCAGTTGTGCTGCTGCTTAAAGGTGTGATATTTTGTGAAGTTTTCTGCAGGATTCAGTCCTGGAAAATGTTTCTGTCTCCAACCCCCCGCTGATATCCAGCACACGGACCCCCACCAGATGCACATGTTGTGCGGCACACCGGTTCTTTGATGGCGACTGAAAGCGAGGGAGTGGCAGCAGTAAACACAGCTGGAATAGAAGGCGGGTTATTCGCCACGTGTTTCACTCACAGGGAAGAAATCACGGAAAAATCCACTTTTTATTGGCTGTTTTGAAACCAGTCAAATCAAAGTTGGCGATTCCTCCCGTAGGGGAGTGATTAACATCTGATCAATCCCTTCAAACACTGGGTGTTTACCAGATGCACCAGACTATTACTACTGTGAAGGGTTCGAATATGGCTGCTCATCACAGAGTCATGGAGTTCAGTCAGGTTAAACCTTACGAAAGACAGCATTTGGTAAACTTTAGCGACTATTTGAGTGTTAAGTGTAAAATAAGACAAACTGCTCTGCTGTTTGACAAAATGTTTATTAAGGAGAAAACCAACATGAGAGGCTACAGAGTGAGAAACACCAAGGTTCCAACTCCCAATATATTAATATACACAGCTACGAGCCCATGTACAGTCTGAAGCAGGACACATTAGAACGGCTCCTGGACCCTCGTCCCAGAAGTCATCAGAGAAACAACGAGAAATGATGGATGATCAACTGTCAATACTCATCACACTGCTTTCTGATCACTTATGCATTACACTATCGAACTAACAGACGTCTCTCTCTCTAATGGAACCAGAACAAAAAGGTAGGCTCGCTGTAGCAAAGGACTCTGGGAGATTGAGTTTAGTGGTTTCCTTACTTTCTGTCTTATTGCTTAAAAAAAGTCCCTTTCAAAGTCCCTCCTCATTTAATAATATAATTAACCACTTTGATCCCATCGCTCCCAGTGTTCAAACACACACACACACACACACGGAAACACTGGAGGATGCACTTAACTCAACATATTTGCTCTTTCACATGAAGCTCACGTTGATTTGCACCATTTTACAACAATTTGTTTCAAATACGGCACACGCGTAATACCCACTAATACGCAACTAAAACATCAAACGAATGGCACATAACGTAATGTGCATTATCATTTGACATATTTGCCATGTTCCTGTTGAATAGAAGCTCTCAAAGTCAATCTCATTTTGTTTATGTTCGAGGGAAAACATTTTTGAATCAATATATTAATGATTTAATGCTGTTAATTAAACATTGACTTTATACCTTCGGCGGGTAGAAGAAGGTTCACTAAAGGGTCCCAACTTTCTCTCAAAGTGGCACGAGGATTCATGCCGCCAGTCGTATTGGGAGCAACAGATGTTTGTTTCCTTTGAGTCCAACCTGCATCATTATGTAATAAAGGGAAGGAGGGAATGAGAGCGCCATCATTACTCACTACTACATACATTTTACTGCTTTGACACTGGAATCGCCCCATTTACACCACACGCGCCACTAATACGCAAAAAGAAGAGGCGTGATACGTACAGGACAGATGTGGCAAGCTACAGATGTAAGGCACAAACTGGCCAACGTTGACGCTATATTGAGTTTTACTAATGTTATATGATCATATCATCGTTCAACACTCTTTATTTCTCTTTGCCAACAAAATAGGTACAACACAACTGTTTGTTATTTGGTTTGAGTGACAGCTCCTCTTAATTACCCTCTGACTGAGATTCAGGTAAAACGTTCACATCCACAAGAGAGAGACCAACAGTAAATTACTGTAAAACAATGTAAATAAAAACCAATCAAAGCGACACAAAAACTACACTATGGCCTATCCCTAGCTCCAGTGTGGGTTAATATATGAACATGAATAACTGAGATACAAGGACAGTGCTTTACAATAACAAAAACACCACAGGGACACGGGGACGCTAACAAGACTGAAGAGTCCGTCCAGTTTTTGGCATCTTTAAAAGCCAAGAGAAGAAGAATATAGAGCTTATGGTACCTTCAGCACCAAGGCAACATAATAAAAACATATCTTAGAAATGTCTGACAACAGGTTTTGGTCAAAGGGGATTTAAAGACACGGAGCAGACTGTGAAACGATAGAAATCTCGGAGGTCTTTGGAGTTCCTCCTTGTGGTCCCTCAGGACAGATTCCTGCTGTTACCACCAAACAAACCCACCTTCTGACCACAGTTCTTCCAGTTTCTTCTTTCCCTCTGAACGCGATCTTTTCCTAACCTGATTCCAGGCCTCAGTCCTCTCGTGTCTCTCGTCCCACACAAGTCCAAGTTCATCCCAGCAGCCCGAGCTCACTGGTTGACGTGGGGCTTCAGGGCCTGGTAGAGTCCCTCGAAACTGGGTCGATCTGGTATGTCGCGACTCCAACAACGCATCATCAGCTCGAAGAGGGACGGCGGGCAGAGCGGAGGGCCGTAGAGGAAGATCTGATCCAGGACCACAGGAGAGGTAAAAGAGGTTGTTAGTGAAGAACTACAAACAAAGAACTCCTCAGATGTCAAGTAAGTTCCAACCATTCACAGACCCTGAATACAGTACGATCACACCAATGTATCCCACCCTGTTCGGCCCTTGAATGCCTGACCACCAACCTGCTAGATGTGGACCACTAAACACATTTCCACATTAAGAGTCTCATCAGTGAGTTACTGGCTGGGTCCTGATCTAGATCCGGTCCACATGAATGACAAACACGCGTAATCAATCAAAAGGCCATAAGCATTAGCAGGAGCTGCTTTTAGGGGCCGTTGGTCCGCCTCACCTGTCGGCCCTGGTTCCTGAAGAACTCGCCAGTGTTCTCTATGACCTGCTCGTCAGACAGCAGGCTGTAGGGCTGCTCCTTGCACAGAGTGAAGATCTCCCACAGCGTGACGCCGAACGCCCACACGTCGCTGGCCGTGGTGAACTTACCCTGCAGAGCACGCGAGAGGCCACATAGAGATTTAAGGAACTCGCTGCCTCTATCAGCAGCTGTACATGTAACGTAGAAGAGTAAAGCTGAGTGAAGAGTAAAGCATGAAGTCATGGAGCAGACTCAAGCATTAAAGATCCCCTGTGAGGAGCAGGTGGAGGTGTCTTCTTTATTCCTATCCTGTGCCAACCCTCACCAGCAGGATGCTCTCCCAGGCCATCCAGCGTATGGGGAGCACCGCCCGGCCCTGGATGCGGTAGTAGTCGCTGCTGTACAGGTTCCGGCTCATCCCGAAGTCGGCGATCTTGATGGTGAGGCGGCGGTCCAGGAGGCAGTTCCTGGTGGCCAGGTCGCGGTGCACGAAGTTGAGGGACGCCAGGTACCTCATCCCTGATGATATCTGCACCGACATGTGGAGGAGGTCGGACAGGCTGGCGGGGGAAGGGAGGGGGAGGGTGGAGGAGGTAGTGAGCACACTTGTTTGGATGAATTGAACAGGTGGCGTTAGCATGTTAGCATGTTAGCGTGTATAAACAGGATGGGGTTTTCCACTCCAACCTGACTGAGGGGATGTTGTTGGCGTGCGTCAACGTGCTCTCGATCTCGCGCTGCGACAGGAACATGTTGAGGTCTCCATTCTCCATGTACTCCGTCACCATGCACAGCGGGTCGGACGACACGCACACGCACAGCAGCCGGATGATGTTGGGGTCGTTCAGACGGGACATGATCTTTATTTCCTTCAGGAAGTCGTTCCTGGAGGACGCAGGGAGGAAACAGGCTTTAGAGGTCACCAGAGGTGGAGGAAGCACTACCTCATGCATCTCGTCTCCTCATTTACAGGAGTAGATATCCCTTATCTGGAAATCTACAGGATTTACGTACCTGGCTTGGCTGGTGGCATCGGCCCTCAGCTGTTTGACGGCCACCAGCACCGAGTGCCCGTCCCCCTCGGGGAGAGGAGAGCCCTCCCCAAGGAATTCTGGGAGTCCCTCGGCCTCGCACAGGTGGACCTGCAGGCGTAAGTGCCACAGCGCTTTGTTACGGGGAGAACAAATCACATGCACCAGGTTGTTTTCTTAGCCCCGCCTCCTCCTCACCTCTCCGAACTGACCCTCCCCCAGCTTCTCCCGGAAGATCAGCTGCTGGCGCGGGAACTCGGCGGCGGAGATGTCCTTCCTAGTGAGCGAGTCGACGGTGAGGGCGGGCACGGCGTACATGTTGCTGCCGGTCACGCCCTGCAGGCGCACGATGTCGGTCTCGGCATAGTGCGGGGCGTTGCTATGGAAACACTGGTGGGGCGTGCACTGGGTGACGTCGGGCTCGGCGTAGCCTCCTCCACACGCTGGTGGAGGGAGAAGACCAGCTCCATCAGGTGGTGGAGATCATGCATTCTAGACCGATGTGATACTGAACTAGACATTGCTTCATTTAAGGCCAATGCCAATATTGATCATTTGTGATTACAAAGAAAATAGTTCACTTTGGATCAGAGAATACAATTTACCATGAAAACTATGGTTAAATGTGCATTGAGTGGACAAATGTCTGTAATTTTTTCTCAAACACATGTCCTGCTTATTAACCAACGCACAGATATATCATAAATATGTGTGATCAATGTGGCTCCGATCAACATATTTGGTAATATCAGGAAAAACGGCAAAAAATGAACCAATTCTGTTATCCTGAGATAATACCTTCCTTAAAACTAATTGTCTGCAAACCTATTGGTCAAATCATAATTTCATCAGTTGTGTCTTTGTCGTTTTATAGAGAATAAAATACTTCATGTACTGGAATGAAAAATGCATCCATAGACGACTCCCTCTTCCCTAAAGCCACACCTTTCAGCTCTTACCGCGCAGCCAGCCAGATGTCATGTGACACGTCAGTAGGAGGTAGTCGTAGATAGGGTTACCGAGGAGGAGAGCTGGAGGAAGAGGAGGAGAAGAAGGAGGAAAGGTGGACAGAGAGGAGAGCTGCAGAGTGAGTGAGCATGCTTCATCTTGATGACTGATGTCCACGGAGGAGAAAAAGGAGAAGCAAAGAGCGAGAGGCGAGAAGTGAGGAGACGGAGGGTTCTAAGAAGGGCCAACAGGGGGCAGACTGACGCACTGTGGTGGCTTATCATGATACGATAATATCACCGTACCTAAGTCACGATACGATAATATCACCGTACCTAATTCACACTATAATAATATTACCATACCTTAGTCACAATACGATAATATCACTGTACCTAAGTCACACTATAATAATATTACCATACCTTAGTCACAATACGATAATATCACTGTACCTAAGTCACACTATAATAATATTACCATACCTTAGTCACAATACGATAATATCACTGTACCTAAGTCACACTATAATAATATTACCATACCTTAGTCACAATATGATAATATCACCGTACCTAAGTCACAATACAATAATATCACTGTACCTAAGTCACGATACGATAATATCACTGTACCTGAGTCGCAAAGTGACATTATCAACATTGAACAGTTGTAAAAAGGTAATAATGTATTATATTTCTATATGTATAAAATACAATACAATACTAAGCATGATGCGATATCGCAAAGCAAAATATTGTGATATTATTCCATCTATCCATTCCTCCCCAGTTCATACGAGTGGATCTTGTGAGAATGTAAGTTCTAGTGAAAGGGTGAGCTGTGCACAGGAGGAACACGTATCACCAACTTGTCATATCCTCTCTAGACGTGAACACTCTCACAGCCTACCGGAGGCCTCGGCGCTCTGAGACAGCTCCGGCAGTTTGCTCCTCAGCGCCGCCGGGTTCTGGTACTGCGGGTCCAGCAAGAACACCCTCTCGTAGTGGGGGTCGGTGTGGGCGGGGTCTGAGGAGAGGCGGTCCGACAAGTTACACATTTCTGCAACGTGTATCCATGACAACAACAAAGGTTTCAATTCAGTAGTGAGTTAAATAAACATCTGAATGCTCTGAATACTCCAATTCAATAAATGCTCCTCTTAATGTAGTGATGAAGTGGCAAACTTATATGTTGATATGAACAAAATGAAGACGGACTGAGAACATGGCTGTCTACCTGAGGGGGCGTGGCCGGAGCGGGGGGGCACAGGGGGGGTCTGGAGGATGATGGTGTCGCTGCAGGAGGAGAGCCGCACCGTCACCTCCTCGTTGAGTATCCGACGGGGAGCCTGGAAGAGGAGAGGAGGAGGAGGAGCTTTACTAAAAATCCGTACATTTCACTTCTTATTCCATTCATTAACTTTATTAACATTTTACTTTTTTATTGATTTATACTGAGCATTGTGTTTCATTGTGAGTACTTTGGGTTTAAACTAGTGGAGGGCCGTTATCGGCGGTAACGCGCTGCGTTATGGTGAGACTCTTATCGGCGATAAAGAAAAAATAGGGCCGATAATCTATTCTCAAAGTTAGGTTGGGAGCTGGGTCTGTACTACGCAAGCTATGGTGATTTTCACCTTGATATTCCAGCGCGGATGTTTACCTACGAGCGCGGATGTTTACCTACGAGCGCGGATGTTTTACCTAATTTACTTTTAAGAAGCTTCCCAATGGAAACCTCGACAAGACGAAGAATTAGTTTACTGTAGAAGTTCTTCAAGTCTCAAATACGACCTAAACGCAAAGCACCGCTTAGCTAACGCGGAGGATGCCGGGCCAAGCACTGATGTAGAGCCGTCGTCAAACTACTATGTTTGAGTGACACCGAGGCGAGTCCGACAGCACGGCTCTATCGGCCAAGCTAACGAATGTCCTCGCTCAGTGGATCGCCACCAGCGTGGCAGAAGATGACGGGCTCGAGCTTGTTCTTCAGGCGGCCACAGGTGATCCATCCTACAAACTACCCGCTAGGCGAACTATCGTGACCAGCACGCCTCTGGTCTCATGTGCCACCTGGCTTGAGAAACCTGTTCTCAAAGACTGACTTTTAGTCATTATTTGGGTAGCACACATATTCTAAATGCCTTCGGCAGAATTCAAATGAGCCATTTTAATCTAGATTAATCTAGATTAATTCCAAGATTACAGTGAGATTAATCTAGATTAAAGAAATTAATCTATGCCCACCACTAGTTTAACCACTTGATTGATTGATTGAGCTAACCTCTAACACACGTTATTGATCTCTCACCTTCTCCAGCACCTTGCAGACGTATTGGCACCACAGGATGAAGACGATGACGATGACGAGCAGCAGGATGATGGTCACCAGGCAGCCAATCAGGACGGGCGTGTTGCTGTAGTCGGGGGCCCCGCTGGCCGAGGGGCCGGCCGCTGTGGACGGAGCGGCGTTAAGCCTAGTTTATGCTTCTGCGTTTTCAGAAAGACGCAAGGACACAAGACCCCCTTGCGAGTCCCGCAAGGCTGTGATTGGTCTGCTGACTACGTCCTTTACGGAGTCTCACGTCTCCGTTTTCACAGCACAATACGGCCGTTATTAAAAGGAAGAACGTTTACGAGAGAACGGATCAGATTGAAGAGCTTTTAAATATGAGCGCTTGTACAAGCCGTCATTGGCGGACTATGAGGACGCCGGATGGCCTCTGATTCATGGAGGGAGATCTCCACAAACGAGGGGAACAAAGTCGAGGAGGAAAATACGGGACAAATGTGTCCCTGATGAAAAGCAGCAGTGTGGATGCACGGGGCAATAAAGTCTATGATCAATAAATAAAGCAACCAGCGACTTCCACACACAAAGACGTGACTCTCCAGGTCGTCTTCAACAAAACACGTGACTCCACCTGTTGTTCTGGAGGTGAATCGCTCTGCAACACACGCAGGACTTTACAACCAGGAAGTGAAACCAGTGCGTGAAGACGCAGAAACACGCGGCGGCCTTCAGTCAGCGACTGACCCCGGCTCGGTTATTACCGTTTGTGGATGCGGTGGAAAGGTCAGAGGTCACACCTGGCACAGGTGTGGTTGTCACGGCGCTCCCTCTGCTAGCGGGAGAGGAGGTGGAGCTCAGAGTCATCAGGGTGGGGAGGACGGTGTCCTCTGAGGGACAAACAGAGGAGGGACGTTCGCTTAGCGGAACATGTGTGTGTGTCGGGGTTCGTGTCCTTAACTTCACCCCACATTGCTCCTGTAGCTGAGACTGTGTGAATGCTGATAGGCAGGTATGTGTGTGTATATGTGTGTGTCTGTGTGTGTGTGTGTGTGTTACCTGACTGAAAGGAGATCTCACTGAACATCATCCAGAAGTCAGCGAAGTGGAAGCGGCAGCGGATGGATTTGGCGGCGCGGCGCTCCAGCGGCACGGTGACGTAGCGGGCGCTGGGGTTCCTGTCATCCAGCACCGTCTTAAACGCCACAGGCTCCGCCTCCCAGTCGGCGACGGGGCGGGGCTTAAACCAGCAGGACACGGAGGAGAAGATCTTCACTCCGCGGGAGAACATGTTGTTACTGTGAACCTGACGGAGGTCATGAACAGAGTATCAGACCCGAACCCTCTTTAAATTAAACTACTAAAAAGGTTCTGCGTCCTCAATGATTAATGACAATATTATATATATAATTAGCTCTTTAAATAAAGAACCAGCGACTTCCTCTTCCTCTGATTATTAATGCATGAGGAAGGTTCTTCCTCGAGCTGACACCTGTGATATCACATCACGTTACAGAGGTGAAAAGCGCCGGGACCTTCATGGAGGTGAAGTTCCTCTGCCCTGTCGAACAGGAAGTCCATCTCCACGTGTCCCGGGCCGCCCAGCGAGTCGTTCCTCCAGCCCAGGTAGTCGTAGCCCGGCCACACGTGGTACTGCCGCGTCAGCAAGAAGTCGTCCTGGCCGACCACGCCGTCCGTCAGCTGGCCCAGCCCGCCGGACAGCCTCCTGTTGGACGAGAGAGACCGGTCACATGGGCTGGAGGCGGCGTGTGTGTGTGTGTGTGTGTGTGTGTGTGTGTGTGTGTGTGTGTGTGTGTGTGTGCAACTCGCCTCCTCTCGTGGGCTCCGTCGTAGGTGGAGTCGTTGAGGCTGACGTTGGGGAACCCGGGGGGCATCATGAACTGGCCCTCCGGGGCGCCGTAGGAGATCAGACCGTCTGCGGGTCGCCGGCAGAGACTCACGTTTAACGCACGTGTCAAAATACATGGAAACAGGAAGTGCTCTCTTTTTGTTTTAATATTAAACAGAACAATCATTTTTGTTTCGGATGAGGAGTTTTCTGAGGAGTCAGAAGAGGCGTGATGATGTCACACACACAGAGTGATGATGTCACACAGAGTGATGATGTCACACACACAGAGTGATGATGTCACACGCACAGAGTGATGATGTCACACACACTCTCTCCGGGTGTCCCACCTCCCAC